GTCTCGTTCTCCATCCTTCTAAACAGAAAGTCTGGGGCTTCTTTCTCCCCGTATCGTGGTCCAACATGTTAATGATGGTGCAATTGCAGGGATTACAGTGGCTACAGGGGGGCCAGTTCTATCTCACCTCTTCTTTGCAGACGACTCTTTGTTTTTCTTTAAGGTTGAGGAGTCTAACTGTGTTCGTCTTAAAAAGCTTTTACAGGAGTATTGCCATACATCTGGGCAAGAAATTAATTTTGAGAAGTCATGTATTTATTTTAGCCAGAACACTCCTCCTCAACGACAAACAAGTATATGCTCCACTCTGGGTATTAATGGTATTGACAATCCTGGGGTCTACGGTATACCTAAGCCCTCCTACAATATGGGGAAGGTTTAAGAAATCTGCTCTTGGTTTCATCAGAGAGTGAATCAAAAGAAGATTGGAAGGGTGGAAATCCACCTCCTTGTCCTTAGTGTTGAGATTTCAAATATACAGAGCTATGCTCTTGAACAGAGAAGGGAAAACAAGAAGAGGAAAAATGGAGCTGAGAGAAAAGAGAAATCGTTGAGAGGAGAGAGAGAGTCTGTTACTGAGCATCAACCATTGCAATGCACACTGTGATTTCATTCCAACGGAATTATACCTTTTACAATGAATGAAAAACGAAATCCAGCCTTACAATGGTGTCAGCAATATGAGCTGTACACTTGGCAAAAAACTAGGACATGTAGATGGCATCTAAGCCTTACATCTGTCTAACTAAGGATTAAACCAGAAAATACATTTGTTTTCAGCTAAATGTAGTTGGAACTTTGGAAAACAAATGTAAAGAAAATCTACTAAATTTAAGCCTTCTCGCCCCAACAAAACAACTACTCATCAATACTTGTCAAAATTTCATTCCAATATAAATATAGCAGTAAAATCATATTAAATTTCCAAAACAAATGTATATAATTCAGTTTTGTATTATATATTTTGGCGCCCCCCAAATTACAAAATCCTGGCTTCGCCCCTTGAGACATCAAATTGGGTTTGAGCCTTTCAAAGCTAGGATTCATAAGAGCGAAAGGGGATTTTCTTGCAAACCAATGATGTTCTTATTTCTAGTTAAATTTCTTGGGACGATCACCATGAGGACGTATGAACAACATTGAACTTCCTTGTGTTCTTTGTGATTATTTTCTTTATTTGGTGTGTGATTTTTCTTGGTTGGTTGTGTGTGTTCTTCATCATAGTCCTCCATTGCTTTGTACAACACTAACAATCGTTTTCTTAATAGTATTTCCTGAAGCTTCATACCTAGTTTGTTTCTAAAGTTCCCGGAAGTTGATATTTCCATAAACATCAGTTTCAATATTTTCATCCTTTGACATTATACAACAGGAAATATTACTGTAAGTTCATTAAATTACATTACAGACGACGACAACTCTCCAGAGATTAATACAATACGGCCGGCAGCAAACATTACATTGCGTACGCAAGAAATATTATTAAACATGTAATCAGCAGGAGTCTTCGTCGTAATTTCTTGTTAACTTCGAAACAATTCATGAGCGAATGCACCTGATAGTGTTCTTCTTAGTTGCCAACGTTAACGACAAGTTTCACATGTTATGTAGGCATGTAAGGGCAAAAGATACGTAATTGTACAGTAAATTACATTGCATATTTAAATGACATTTAAAGTAATATATATTATCCCAAATAAAAAAAAGTAATATATATTAATATATACACACGCGTATTCTTATAACACCTGCCGCCCAAATAATATTATTGACTTTACAATAACTAGCCTCTCCGCGCTTGCGATAGGCTTTTTTTTTTTAATTTTAATTTATTTTAGAATTAGAAAAGATAATGGGTAGTTGTGTTCCATAAAAATAGAATCCATGATCTGATTGTTCTTTTAATTTTAATTTTTTTAAATATGAAAAAGTGTGAATTTACCATATTATCCTCATTTAATTAATAATTTCAATTCTTAATGTTTGCATTAACCAATGACATTTCCTAGTATTTTGAATGTTTTACCATTCTCTGCCTTTCGCTTTATATATATAGATAAAAAAAAGTACAATATAACCCTTTGACGAGAGAAACATGCAGTGTTTCATTTTCTTCACGTTGAAGAAGTGCACCCTCTAATTAATTTATAATATAACTTTTATTTTAAATACTAAACTCACAGTGAATTTCTACTATGATGGCCCTGAGCTAGGAAAATCATTTCCACGAACCAAACGGAGCCTTAATGTGCAATGGGGGCAGGATCTAGTTTGGAGAACTCTGTATGATTGACTTATGTGGTATTGGAATATGATAATGATCACCTGATATTACTTGTTTATGTATATTATATGTATAGTGTTGGTTATATGTGTGTATTATTTACATCAAGTAGCAATTATATAAATTGTAAAACTTACTCGTGGGCGGCAAAACAAATTGTATTGCACTGGATACAAGAAGGTCCATAATTGACTTTTAAATATTATGGTTGGTGGTATACGCGTACTTTCATTTCCTTTTATTTGTTTCTGGAGGCCTTTTTCCTTCATCAGTCTAACAGAGGAATTCGTGTATTTTTTTTTCTATTGAAGACAAACCTCAGCAGGACAACAGCACTGTACAGTCACGGATCGCTCTCTCCTCTTTCCTTTTGCTGGTGATGTAGTGCAGGAGGTCGATTGTCCGAAACGACACATTTCCAGGTATGTGTTATTCCTCTGCAATCATCATCACAGGAAGAGCTAGCTAGCCTTTCAGTTAGCTGGTATTTCCTCTGTGATTATCAATCATGTTTTCTTCTGAAAAATGTAACCCCACAATAGGAGAATCCTCATAGTTGCATACATATGATTTTTCACTTGTTTTACTGGGTGTTTATCTCAAAAGTTCATATACTATATATCTAGAGTCCCTTTCTATATGTAGGAAATATTTTCGGGTTATCTTCTCGGATCACTCTCCACTATTTTTAATGATCTGCACTGTTTATTTTTCAAGTCTTCATTTATAAATCATCATTGAAAAACAATAGACAAATCACAAATCATTAAGACATCTATTTATGATGTAATAAATATACGAAAATATTTAGAGTCCCCTTCTATGAAAAACAATGGAATTCATTTGTTGAATTAAAAAAATCAAATTTTTATAAAGCTTATATAAGTGTTAATATAAAAAAAAAATATGTCACTACCAGAAAAAAACGATAAGATAAATAGAGGGAGGGGTGTTTTATTTGCTTTTGTTGATGCTGTTTCTGCTCTTGTGGCTTTTTCCCTCCTTGTTTTGGTTGGTTTCCTTTTTTTTATTTTTATTTGTTTTTGTTGGATGGTTGGCTTCCTTTGGAATGCAATGATCTTTAGCCCTATCAAAAAGGAAAAAATAAAAAAGGAAAATGGACCGACATAAGCGACGAAGGTGATGGGGAGGCAGCTGTCGAGTGGGTGGGTATTCTTTTTCAATTTTATTTTGTTTTGTTTCTAATGGGAGGTAAAATTAGGGCATTCTGGGAAACAAAATTGAGTAGGTGGTTTCAGGAGATTGGAAACCATTTATACATATAAATATATCTCTCCCCTGACTCAAACCATGTTCATATCCACTGCGCTGCAGTCGCCTTCTCCATAAAACAACCACAATAGAACCCAAAATACCTAAGAATCCTTGGTGGTGATAATATGTAAATTATTGTGTATTCAATTTTAGGTATTGGAAAATTCAAAACCTTATAACAAGTCAAAGACCAATTGGCATTGAATTTCCACAAAACTCTATTGAAAAATAAATCACAAAAAATAGGAGGTACTTTGAATTTCCCACAAAATCTGACCAATCAAGTTTTGAAATTTGTTTAGGGATTTGACCCACAACAAAATAAAGTAAGGAAATTGAGTACAGTTTCGAAAAAGAAAAAGAAAACCCTAATTTTCCGTAGTCTAAATTTACTAGACGATAATTTAAACTACTCTAGAGAAGAGGAATCAACATCTAACAATCCAACAAAGAAAAATCTTATAAGAAGCGATTAGATAAATCATATTTTCTAATCATATTAGGTAACCACGTTACCTAATCCTCGTGATAGTCATTATTTATTGGGGTATTAGTTCAATTCATTGTTCCTATCATCACGAGTCTTGTCTTTTAATAGGTAGGTGTAACGTGTACCCAAAGTTAACCAATATTTTATATGAACATGAGATGTTCTTACACATAAGCAGCCAAATAAAACTGACAGCAATTAGTATATCTTAGAAGAGTGGTTATCATGAAAGGAGTAATTACTATATTATAATTAGAAAAGTAGCATTATCGTATTAGGGCCATCAAGTTTCTTTTCTTCTTCTAAGAATATATTTGTTTTGAATCCTTTACGGAATTTAATATTTTTTTTTATGGGAATTTATTGTTTTGCAAGAAAATAACATTATTGCCACTGATATTCTTGGCACTCAAGGTGAATAAAAACAATTAATTTTATTAGCACAATGGACATGAATAACCGTGATTGTTAGCTATTAGACACCTAAAATATTTCAGCCATCTCATTATGTGCCACGAATGTATTTTCTTATAATATAACTTGAGAAATACAAAGGGCGTGTAGTTATTGATCTTGACTCGTGTACTAATATGCACCATATTGCTTAAAAAGTTGTACATAAATGGTTTAGATTCAAAGTGTAATATCATAAACATTGTATGTGTTGTCACGTTCACACAAAACTTAATGTGATTAGTGATATAAATTGATAGTCTGAAAATGAAGTATTTCCATATAGGTGTAAGACTTCCTTTCCTTTCTGTCCAAGCAAAATTTAAATAAAAATTAATTATTAAGAGCTCTTAGAAGGCTCCATCAATATCTATAAATAAATGAAATACATATATACAATTTGAACTCAGCAATCTCTGTTGAACTGTAGCTCCAATTAAGTTCAAACTCTTACAAAACTAACTTGTTTCTTGAATGGCATGTATAGTATCCGACGAAATGGTGGCAGAAGATTTCAGCTCAACACCTTGCCCGCCGTCAAAGGAATCACATCATGAAACAGGCGATGCACATGGAGTCTCGCCCGCTTGGCAGCCGGTGTCACCTTCTTTTAAAACACCATCTCTTGATGCACTGGAAGATTCACGTAAGATCTCTCTCTTTAAAAACTATTCGGAGTAATTAAAATGATCGTTTCTTGCATTGTTGTACAACAAATGCGGTGGAACAATTTTGCATCTTAATACGAGTGTTTAGTGTTCTATTCTGTTCATAGAATTTTGCACAGAAATAAGTAATCTGGCTACAGCGAAAGAACACATTTAATTAAATTTTGTTTTCATCGCTGTTTGGTTTATGTTCAACTACAACCAACTAGTGGAAGTGTTATTTTGTTACATATGATATAACCATGTGTTTCAAATCTTTACAGCCGAAGCAAAACAAAAATACTTCATAAAATGCGTGCCCCTATACAAGGCTGCGGTAAAAGGTCACTGGGAAGCAGCTAATAGAATCATGAATGAAGATGAAACTCTTTTACGTGCATCTATCACGAAAGGATGGCAGACTGTTCTTCATGTTGCCGCAGGAGCAAAACATGTTCACTTTGTGAAGGAGTTGCTGAAACTGTTGGACAAACGCGACCTAGAATTGCAAGATCAAAAGGGCAATACAGCCTTATATCATGCTGTTGCAGCTGGAACCGTACCAGTGGCTAAGATTTTGATGCAAAAGAATCCAAGGCTGCTAGAAATTTGGGGAGGTCAAGGATTGTCACCGCTCTATTATGCTGCTTTGTTTGGACATGGCAAGATGGCTTTGTATCTCTACCCTAAACTCATAAAACTTGTTAATGAGGGGGAAAGAGGTGGGATATTTTTCAGCTGCATTAACAACGGTTTATATGGTAAGCATGTTAACATGTCTATTAACAATTGATTTCGTTATCGATGACAATTACTACCTCTGACCCCTCATTGGGTACATGGCCTTAAGATATATAGGCCAAATACAAGCAATCATCGGTAAACTACTATGTAGACAAGAAAAACAATCTTTTGAGGCCATTCAGAGAATTCCCGACGGAATTTCAAAATGTGGTGGCCGAAAGTTTCTTCAGCTTTATATTAAGTAAACTGTGTACGGATAATTAGGAATCTTCATTTCCAATTAACAGTGTTATTGTTTTTTTACTATGCAGAACTAGCATTGAAAATGCTTAAAGACTATCCGGAGCTTGCAGTGGTTCGCAACGCGAATGGTGAGACAGCATTGCATTTGTTGGCTCAGAAGCCTTCAGCATTCGCCATCAAAACTTCAAGAATATTGAAAAACTTCCTTCATTCTTGTAATTCTCTCACTCATTGCACCTCTTTACTACTCTTAGCATGGCTTTAATCAATAAGGGTGATAGCCCGAGTTTTGTCTTATCATGTTTATCTCATACCATTTCATATTCATGTAGAATACTAATAAACTCTAACATGTTTAATTAGTGATGCTGGGGGAATTACGCTAACCTAATTGAATTTATCATGTTGACTAGCATATGTATTTTGGTCAACTAGAAACTTAGGGCTAATCCCTTGTTTCGAAACCAAACCTATCACTCATGCTCATCCTGCTTATTGCTATCAAAACCAAACCTGTCACCTTTTTGTTACTCATGTTTGAAAAATTCAGGTCATAGCATCAATATGCTAGGTTGTACGTATAAGTTGTTTAGATATATATTGTGATACAAGTCTGAAAGTTGACAAACCCCATAAATAAAGGGAAAAAAGTAGAGAAATTGAAGCTTATACAATTACATTTAACTTTGACAAGTTAGACAATAAGAAGGAATATTCATTTTCATAAGTTCACCATACCTACGTTCATACTCAAACAAAAAATCTAATTTGCTTTCGACTTGTTCCAGGTTCAAACAAGAGAAACTTGACAAGAACGCCCTGCCGTCAATTACTGAAATGTCTTTGGGAAGAAGTTTTATGGCAAAATGACTCGACTGTTATCGACGTTCTAAGAAGCCCTTCACATGTACTATTTATCGCAACGAAGCTGGGAAACTTTAAGTTCGTGGCTGAGCTTATTGGCTCTTATCCTGATTTGATATGGGAAACAGATGACAGCAATCAGAGTTTATTCCACATCGCAGTCGCATACCATCAGGCAAGCATATTCAGTCAGGCACAAAAGCTGGGTTTAAATAAGAATATCGTGCTCTCGTTTAAAGATTATAACAACAACAACATACTGCATTTAGCGGCGAAGTTAGCTCCACCAAATCAATTGAACACCGGCTCAAGATCTACCATTCAAATGAAACGAGACTTATCATGGTTTAAGGTAACCCATCTCTCCCTCCCTTTTAAAACAAT